GCATGGTTTTGCACATTTCCAGCTGTTTGACTGCAACTTTTTTTCACATTCCATGTTCACATGCTCATGAGCATATAGTCCTATGGACAGAAAAAACTACTGAAGCTGACCTCACAGACTGCATTCTTTCCTTCAACCCTAGAGACTGACTGCAAGCCTACTGTGTGATGGCTTTATTTATCTTCTTTGAATAACAAAGAGCTCACAAAATCAGTGCTTATGGGAAGTAGCTCCAGTTTAAAACAAAAGGGCTAAAAACACAGAGCTGGAAACACCAGGGAGCAGAATATATGCAGAGGGTCAAACTGAGGAGACAAGATGAGCACTAGGAGCAAAGAGACAGAAGGAAGTCCGGAATAATTGGACACATGTAAAACACACGAGGCAGGACAGACAATCACAAGAACAGGAAACCAGACAGGAAGTAAAACAAAATCCGAATTCATCCGCCTCCAAACATCACACAACAGGGACGTGTTACTTTAGAACTTGACTCGACTCGACATTGACTTGGTATTTATGACTTTGACTTGTTTTAGGCCATGAACAGATGACTCAAAAACACATTTAATATTTGCATTATTTTGTTTGTGGATATTGAGAAGTTTTGTTTTCGAAACAGTGCTATGCAGGCAAACTGGACAGCCTTCTCAAGAGGCCTATGCATGAAGCAGGCATCATGATGGCAGCTACTATGAAAAATGAATAAACTTCGGATTCAAGGATTAGGTTGTTATTTTGTGTGCTATTTTTAACAAAAACTCTGTTAATTTTAGCCATGGTCAACCTCACTCTTTTTATTTTGAATCGACAAAACTCTTGCCTTAGTCAAAGTTTAGAAATGTAAAAATGTTGTATAGTTTTAATTAAGGCCAAGAATGAGCATTTCAGTCAAACCTTCCAAAAAGATTTCATCTTGTTGTAGTATATATATACATAAATATATATATAAAACATATATACTTGATAACAATAGTTGAAATGACATATGTGTCTCCCTCATTAAACAAAGCTGCAGTCGGCAGCAATGTGAAGCTGAAACATTCAACTGGGAGAGCGTTGAATCTGACTCATCATCACTGAGAACTGAGATGAGTGGAGTAGTTTTGCTTGTCTCAGTGTGTCTGAGCAGTACCAGTCAACGTCATCAGTTTTTGATATCTGGGCTGAAAACACTGAAGGGCATCACTCAAACAGACTCTGACAAATATCTAGGAATTTGGCTCGATCAGTCACTCCCATTCTAAACACAATTTTCCACAACTAATCCAGAAATGAAAAATCAAACTCTTAAAAAGATTCTACATCCTTCCGGTCCAGTCTACCTTCATGTCAGTCCTTGACTACGGAGATATTCTATACTGTCACACGGCCAGATCGACTCTCCAGCAGTTAAACCCAGTCTATCACAATGCATTACGCTTCATCACAATGACGACTTCTGCACACGTCATTGTTCAGCTGGATGGACTTCATTACAAACAAGAAGAGATAGTCATCTCATGTTGTTCATCTTTTAAAGCTCCAGATTACCTGACCTCTCTTCTCTCATTTAAAACCAGCACATACGGCACAAGATCCAGTAACTACACTTAACCTTACACATCCCTCATGTACACACCAATGTTGGCAGAACTGGTGTCAGTAACCTTGCACCTTTTAAAAGGAATCATTTACAAACATCCCTCAAACTACAGTCTTGAGTTCCCCTTTGGGATTTTACATTTTTACTGAGTTATGTTTTTTATGAATCGTGTGACTGTTGTTGTTTGCTTGCGTTTAATCGTGTGTTGCTGATTGCGAATGCTTCTTGGAAAAGAGATGTTGATCTCAATGTGACTGCCTGATTAGATAAAAAAATATGGCATGTTTAGGTCATCGCCAACTGCCCCAATGGCCAATGGCTCTAGTCATTTTCTTTTGTTATAGTTTACTTCTCTGATAATTTGTGGACATTATTTGATTCAAAATATTGAATTGTGTATAG